ATAATAATAAATTACTGAAGCTTCTAATAAAAGTTATCTCTTTTACCCATTTGTTATTGATGAATAATATTTAATTGAAGATATCGATAATGTGATTTATTACTTATATAAGTAATAAACCGCTGATATAAACATAATATAGCTCCGACAGTAAATAAGTAATCGAATGCCAACTAAGACTTCCATGTACACACAATACATAATAAAAAACACCTTAATTATTGTGCACCGATAATATACCACATACTTGCAGTTGCAGATACTATAATATTTTTCATTGAACTTCACCTTATGTGGCGGTGTATCAAAAAATATTTTAGTGTAAAACTATACCTAACAACTTCATTAAAACCTTTTTTAATAAGTATACTGTTTATTGGAAATTAAACAAATATTTCGCGTATATTTGTGTTTTGGATCTGAAATACTATAATTTTAATTGAGGACTCAATACTTATATACGTGAGGTGGTTATCCACTCGAGCTTTAGCGAGGGTATCTACTACTCTTATTAGGGTTTTTTTGGTCTTGAGGTGAAAACATTACTTTTCACTTCAATTGCAAGAAAAAAAGAGTTATTTATTTCAATCGTTTATGCTCTACAGCAAAATTTTGAAGTTTTCACAGATCTGTCTTCGTGAGTGTCTTTTAAACGATTCCAGTGCTACGTCGCGTCAATATATAAATGGCCCCTACATACCCAAGCACTTTCTTAATTGAATTTTCGCAGCGCAGCGATCTCTGTAAAACTATAGGTCTATTTACTTTGGTGAATTATTATAATATTAAATTATAAATTATCATAATTATTAATACAAAGATCGACCCGACCGGATCGAAGGAATTTTTTCTGAGTGTTTTTTCTGAGTGTTCGATCTTTGTATTAATAATTATAACAAACTAGTGGAGTAATTTCACAAAAAATAATTGAATATCAATTCAATAAAAAAATTTAATTATAAATTATCGTTTTTCGTTTCTATGATTACACTATGTGACACGAAATCTGTAGCCGTTTTTCAGATTGCTATTACCTAGTAGTATGTATTTAGTATATATCTTATGTTTCTGTCACGTCTAGTTTTTTTGGTACCAGCCAAATTACTTTTTAACTTTATTTTCATTTTACGCTTCTAAGTGAAAAATAATGTAATTGACAAAATCTATTGAAGTAATGTTAATATTTCTGTAATAAACTATCTGAGCGTTCTCAGTTCTTTTTATTGTTAAATTTTACAAGATGAATGCCGAAAAATGGACGTCGCGAGTACAAAAATTTACCAAACTAAGCTTTGTTATGTGTGTGGACATTTGTATGGACCGTACATTATCAAGTCGCAAAGAATGGACGTATCCGAAAAAGTACGAAATGGGTATTTCCTATATTTTATGTGCAGATAAGTCATAGATTCTATTCTATTTTGCGTATCTTACTATATTACTCTCTAGTCTTGACAGAACAGAAATAAAATATTCATGCTCATTGGAGTAACCGATCAGTATCGGAACAGTGTGGCATGAACGCAGTAATTACTACACTGATTACGAGACGATCTCGATGGTCCAACAACTCGCATTGTGGCTGCTGGATGAGCAGGCCTCGGGTTCCATTCTCGATAGGAACAATTTAGGAAATTAACTTTTCTAAATGTGATCTGGGTGTTCTAGGTAGTGTTTCAAAGTGAATTTGCTTGCTCGAATATAATACTCTACTACAGGGAATTGTTTTGTTTAAGATCCCTGATCTTAAACAAAACAATTCCCTGAGTTCATGGTAAATTCTTTGCTGTGGTTATCTAGCATATTACTCTTATCATAATTATCATGAACGTCACTGAGAGCTGTTGTAAACGTGTTTTTGGGTAATCAGAGTAATCACAGATCCAAATATGTGGCACTGTTAGTGAATTATTTGTTATACGCATGAACAAAGAAGATAGATGCGGAATGTCGTTAAAAATAATATTCTCTATTCTCATTTCTCTTTTTACCCCTTTGAATCTTGGGGCTCAAAAGTGACAAACAGAGTAAGAGGTTGTAAAGATGATTGAGGAGTGGTATGAGGGTCGTTAGAATATCGCTAAGTAAATGAGTGTTTATTTCGTGTACAATATTCGATTTTAATTGTATATTTTATGTTTATTCTGCAATATACCAGTTAGAATGTTTATCGCAGGCTTCCGGATTTTTTAAAAAAATGTAAGGTATTGCTTAATGTTTACTTTTCACTTATTTTACAAATAGCCGTACCTAAAAAATATTAACGTGTTACAAAAAAAACATATGTACTATTAATACTACTATGTACCTACTATTAATAAGTATAAATAAAAAAACATAGGCGTATGAAAGGGGTATTTTTTTTATTCTTTCTCAATTTTTTTTCTAATTTGTAACGCAGTGTTAATTTTAAGCATTGTTTTAGTTGTAATTATATTGTTTCACTTATTGAACTTTTACTTTTTGGCACAAACTATAGAGCAAGTACTGGCTGTTTGAGTTCGTTTAGGTCACTAAGTAAATTTAGAAGTAGGTACTTTGCTCCCGCTACGTACCTTTCATTGCCGTAGTACCATTACACAGTTCCATTCAATGCTATATTGTCGTACGTTTAGAGCATGAGATGGGAAAAAATAATTTATTTCCAATTTGTAGCAATCGAGAAAATCTAATACCTCATAATAATTCACATTTGTGGGTATTTAGAACCCCGATATATGTATACTGTTTATGTTTAGTGGAATATCGACAGATTTGTATTCATATTCGTAAATAATTTTTTTGTTGATGTTAGTATAATCAGTGTAGAGTTTTCCATAAAATCAATACTTTGTATATGTATTATGAGATAATTAGAACAGTGTTAACAAGCGAGATTACAAGATCTACTCGCTTACAAGTTATGGAACGTACCGTTATGGAACTTCAACATCAACCATTTATACGTCTCTTTGCTGGGCTCTGGTCTTTCTCTCCGGCGAGGGTTGTGAATCTTCTTCGTCGTGCAGGTTTCATCAAAATGTTTTCCTTCATCGAAAGTTCATGGTAAATTTCAAATTAAATTTCGCACATAAATTCCGAGAAACTGAGATGCGAGCTCGGATTCGAACCTACGACCCTCTGCTTGAGAAGCGGTAGGTAAACCATTAGACTACCCGTAGGCTACCATGGCTTCTAAATTTATATTCATGAAATTCAAAATTTATAGTTTTTGATTTTTTTTATAATATCAAGTGATGGGACGAACAAGGTTAGGACAACAATATTAATTCACAATAAAAACCCTCCCGGCGCACCCTCTTGGCCGGCTGTTGTGGGCGCCGTGGAATACCATAGATTCACCATTACGCCTTCCCCGGCCACCTTGACTTCTGTCAAGGTTCCTAGAGGTGAATCATCTAAGGCAACAAACTAACTAACTAACATCATGTTAATTCATTCTCCATTTTGATTAATGGTTTCTTCAAAGACTTGACTTTCTGAGTAGAGAGCTTAGTAGCTTCGGGTAGGAGAATCGCAATTATTGCTGCGCATGGCAGTTATCACTCTAAATATCAGATTATAAATAATAGGCACCTACAACATTTCGATATAAAGATATATAGATAAACCTTATCAATGTTTAAGCGGCGGATAGCAATGTTATTAATGACAAATGATTTAAGTCATGTGTTATACATTGGTAAAATTAATTGATGTTAATCTTACCATTAAGATAAATATGATTAAATGTTCATGGTTTAGGGTTCCTGAATAAGTAACAAATTTGCTAGTAATGTATAGTGTGCAACCATTGTGCAACATATATGTTTACATATGCTTGATTTGGTCTAGGTAAGCCATTTCCATAGGCTTTCTAGTTATTTTATACCACATCTATATCCATGTAGGCCATGAAAAGGATAAATAACTAAAGACAATGGTATGATAAAAATATAAATATGTAGAGTCCAACAAAAAATCAATGTACCTATTCTAAACTTTCTTCAGCGTATATTCAAACGAATTAAAAAAAAACATAATTATGTATTGAATAATAAATACGTACATATAGGACATGAAACTATTTTTTCGGGTCTAGATCGTGTATATCGCGTGTATCAATGTTTCGGGACCTTTACAGGTACCATAATCGCGACTCAGCACATACAGTCAGCCTTGACCTGTAAAGGGCCCGAAACGTCGGTTTTAAGCGATTTACATCCGAATAATCTCAGTACAAAGTACTAAAGAAACCGACCTCAAAAGTACGTGGAATTACACCTATTTGCCAAGTTTTATTGAAATCGGTTACGGGAAAGTACGCAAACCCGGATTCATCCCCTAATTCGCCACTATACGGAACTTGACACGGGAGATAATAAAAATCGGATCCCACTACTCAAAGTATATTAAGAGAGAAAAACGCCTTGAATTGGAGAATAGCAAAATCAGCCATCAAAATAATTGCACCTATTATAAGGTGAATTAAGTAAATTTAGGCGCTATTTACAAAAATGAATCTTCATGCGTGAACAGCCTAAGTCTAAGGGTTTAGAGGTGGATGATTTTCTTCAAAATTAAATGGGACCACTATGGGGGTACCCTCTTTCCAACAAAAAAAGAATCAACAAAATCTGTTCACAAACGGCGTAGTTATCGCGTAAGATACATACAAAAAAACATACAGTCGAATTGAGAACCTCCTCCTTTTTTTAAGTCGGTTAAAAATAGTTTCATTTTCTATGTGTAACAATTGCGAAAACCTAAGAACACGATAAATAATACCTATATACTTTAAATACTCAACGAGGATGTAGGTAGATAGGTATATTGGCAATTAATAATTATTATAAAAAATAGGCAGACCTACACCCCAATAATATCTCTGCGTAGGTTGCTAGCAACTAACACATGCTCTAACCTTTAAAATTATCGTAAGATACCGATAATTATCTCGTCAACACATTAAATAAAAATATCTATTACTAAATATCGTTACTTCACTACTGGTGGTGTGGTTCAAGTGGCGTGTTGTTGGCCACGCTAAATTTTATTTTCAATGGTGATTGATTACGTACATTATTCATGTTAACTTAGTGGGAAATTAATACAACGTAATTTAGGGAACTATAGAAAAATTCATACCGAATCTATTTAATTATGAGTGTTATTACTTACTTTACCATAAATTTATGGTATTTAAAATATAAGAGGAAGCCATATATTATTAAAGTGTTTATTATTTCATTTACACAACAGGATCACAACCAAGCCGCAGGCAAAGAGAATGGACAGATTAAAGGAAAAGGGGAGTTAAATAAAGGATTTGACCCATCACCGGAGCATCTAAATGATGCTGGGGTTAGTAATTTGGTTACATATTAAAATTTAATCGGATAAAATATATAAAAAATGATAACTAAAACGGTATCTGCTAAATTACTCAATTATAAGAATATAAATATCTTGGAAAAATTGTAAATATCAATATTGAGTACTGCATACATTGGCCTACCAATAAACGGCATATCTAAAAGTTAAAGGATTATAGAAACTGGATAATCTACATACAATACACTTCTGTTTTCGTAACACAATACCTACAAGTCGTAGTATGTAGATTATCTATAGATACATCCCAATCATAAGCAGGGATGTATTTGAAATATACAGGCACATTCGTTGAAATACTGAGAAGATGTTGCAAACAAAAAATCCATTAAAATATTCAAATGTAGAATTAAGTAATTAATTAATGTAAAAATTAAGAAAACAGGTTACAAAATAATTAATTATAACAATATATAATGATATTACATTTCTATAGAGTACAATCATTGACTTACCAATAAATGGACATCGAGTTCGCGCTTAAAAGTGTCCGCATCTATAGGGCGTTAAAATCACATACAGAGCGTCAATCGCGCAACAGTCTTCGTTTGTTCGACTGTCAGCGCGGTTGTCCATCATGCAGTACCATATAATAATAACTTGTAAAAATTACTGCAGTAAAGTGTAAAAACAGGGTTTTGTATCATATTTTCACTAAACAAATATATTGTGTTATCATAGTTCTCATTTAAAAATGTAATTTTGTACAGTTTTATAGTATTTAATTTATATATAAATGAATCGTAAATATAAATTACAAAAGCACACAAAATAATAAAATAGCTAACTGTCCTTTTTCTACACATTGCATGCGCTAAAGATGGAAAGAGACCCATTGTGTCAATTTCAAGAAGCTCATATATAAATTTCTTGGTCATTTTCAATTGTTCGAACCACAAGCGATTGAAATATTTAGAACAAAGAAACCATAGACTCGCTTTGATTTTAATCTTATTTTTGAAATGATTTAATTAAACGTTAGCAATAACTAACAAAATATTGTTGTACTCGTTTTACGAAATAACGTTAGCTCGACTTTTCATAATGTGAAATGTATTTTTTTAGAAAGATTACAAAATAAAAACTAATTTTGTCTTTGTGAAAAGCATTAAAATTACACGAAAGCGTAACGGTTTTATTACAAATCGGTTTTCGGAATTACGGATATTTGAGTTTACGTTTAGTTGGAATATCGGTACATTTCTTATAGTATACGCTTATTTTCACATTTGTAGTAATATTTGTATGTATGTATCTGCCCAACTCTTTATTATTTCTTTAAGTGAATTTGTACAAAATGCGACATAATAATATATATAAAAATTAATTAATATTAACGATAAAGGCTACTCCATTACTCTTGTGTTCAAGTAATTTTCAGTTGAAGCTAAATATGGTGCATTTTGTTTAATTTCCAGTAGAAGCTGAATATGGTGCTTTTGGGCCCTTAAATTGTTGCAAGTAAAATTAAGCAGCACTGCAACGACGTTACAATTTAAATTAAATGTTTTAGTTTTTTATATTTCGTTACATGTCACTATGTTTGTATAGGTTAACTTCGGACATTTTTTTTCGTGGTTTTTGTATTAGACCCGACGTTCATTCGTGGATAGGTCAATGAGTACAATCGTTTATTTCATATTATCAATGTCATAATATTACAAATTTTAAATATCTATCGCTATATGATAGTCGTTTCGCTCGTCACCCTGAGATGTAAGTTGCCAAGTCCCTGTACCTGTAATTTTACCACCACCTTTAACCCTTCAAAACCGGAACGCATTAATTAATATGAGGGCATATTACGGCAGAATAAATGAAGTGGGAGTACTTCAATGGACGAACTCTTTCACAAGGAGCTCTACTGCGACTGAATATGAATATGATATGATTATACATTGGAAGACTACTTGGTCTGTCACACGCCTATGCACACGGCGTATTTTACACGCGCCGATGACGCGCGTTTCACGTACGCGCGTTTACGACGTAGATGCTCAAAAAGCAAATTGTTGCGTTTGTATCGATTCAAACGCAAAGAGACGCAAGCGAGAAACGCGTTCTAAGCTCGTCTGTATCGCGTTTAAGGCGCTTTTGAATCGATTCAAACATTGACTTACAAATAAATGGACGACGGGTCTAATACAAAAACCACGAAAAAAATGTCCCAAGTCAACCTATTTAAATGTAGTGACATATAAAGGAATATGAAAAAGCTAAAACGTTGAATTTAAATTGTAATGTCATCGCAGTACTGTCTAATTTTGCTTGCTTCGCTGTCAGAAGAAACAAACGAAGACTAAAGCGTGAATGACGCTCTGTATACGATTTTAACGCTCTATAAGTTCGGACACTTTTTAGCGCGGACCCGACGTCCATATAATTGTAAGTCAATGGATTCAAAGCTTATATATGCCACTAGAGTTTACGCTTAGAATTTCGTGTAAGTAGTTGAAAGAAAGAAAGAAAGAAAGAAAGAAAGAAAGTACATTTATTTGTTTACCACAATGACACCACAAAAGACAAAAGACAAAAAAAGAGAAATCGGAACAAAACAGAACTAAAACAAAACACGATCAAAACATTCAACGTAAAACAAATATATAATTACGAAACAAAAACACAAACAAACACAAAATAAAAATGTATATACAAAAATTAGATAAAATTTTTTGCACTTTATCTAAAACTTACTGAAATTAACAAACGAAAGTAAATGTAATACGAGAAGAGATATCTTATCAAAATGTGCGATGCGTACGCGTGACTACAGCACGTCTGCGGCGTACGCAGATGACGCACGTTTATGGCGCCACTGAATATGTGAACGTGTGCAAAGGTTTACTCATTGCGAATGCATCGCGTTTGAAACGCGTTTACGCGTGTCATCTGCGCGTCTGCGTCGCAGTAGAGCTCCTTGTGAAAGAGCTCGTCCATGGAAGTACAGTCAAATACATGAGATCCCTGAGAGACCCCTAACACGCCCAAAACCGACCTTTTGGTTCTGAGAGCCATCTTACGTATTGAACAAAGAAAAAATTAAAGCAATTTCAACTTTATTGTGTAAGCGATACAGTGGAGTGTTGCCTGAAGATGATGAACATATCTTTAAAACCAATACTAAATTTCGTGATTTAAATTCCAAGTAAATTGGTCGAGCGGCTTGTTGTATCGAGTTACAATACCCGTGTGGTTCGATTCCACGAGCGCTGTTTCGTTTTAACGTTATATTTTTAACAGCATTGTTTCACTTTATAATTTTAACGTTGCCAATCACAATATTTGTTCACTAGAAATTACCTACGTAGGGTGGGTAGATATTATTAATAAAGCGTAGGGTGGGTAAGGATAAATTAACAAATCACGAAATCGCTCTGCAGTTTGCATACGATCGTATCTTCTTGATTACGCATTGTTCCACATTTCGTTCCTATTTGTCTGTACAGTTTTAATTACTTTCAAGGTTTTAATAATAATAATAATATATTTATTTCAGACAACTATTTAGTCCACATGTGTTAGTAACAATTTTATTCTTAAAAATTATGTTAGTAGGCACTGAATCTAAACATTATTAAATTAAAATTAAAATAAAAACATGAACATTGGAAGCAATTAAAAACGAGGCGAAAAAAGTTGCCGCATAAAGGGTGAGTCAATTCTCCTGGCAATGGTTTTCAGTATTGGGTTGGAGCTGGCTCGCAGTCTGCAGAGCAGTGAGGTCGACTTTTTGCGCATAATGGCATAAAAGTCATCAGTGCGAGCCTGTGCAAACATGCCTGACGCGCTGCAGAACCGCGGCAGCCCCAACAACATACGAAAACCATTGTTGTATTGTACTCGCAGGACGCTGATGGCTCTGTGCGTATAGTTGGTCCAAAGGCTGCACGTGTAAAAAACTTGGCAGTATGATTTAAAAAGTAGAATCTTTACTTGTTCACTGCAACGCGCAAACCTTCGCACCACCATATTACACCTGACCGCCAGCGCCCTGCGTTCCCTCTCAATATCCATGAGGTCCTTTAGGTCGTCGGAGACAAAATGGCCAAGGTACTTGTATTGATAGACCCGCTCGAGTTCTTAGAGTTTTAGTGACTTTCAAGTATTCTTTCTTGTTTCAATATGCCGCACTTAACGGAATTATTAAAATTAGAAATTATTCTTCTGTATGAACAAGATTTAGACATTCCTTACACCTATCCAGAAAAAATACAGTATTATATAGTCATAGCTAAATAATATTTTATTTTTAATGTGACTCGAACTATGCTTGCCTCAATTTGCAAAGCAATCCTTATACCACTTGGCCACGATGGCCTTACTACAGCTGGTTGACATTTGTGTTCGGTATTTAAGTAAAAACCACACATTAAAGATCAAATTGGCTTAAAAATTTTCTTAAAATGTCATTCACTAATGAGGCGACCAGGGAGTCTTACCAAAATAAATTTTACGGCTCACAGGTTAAAGATTTTTGTTTAACAATTTTCTCCACATTTTTGTGTTCAGAACCAAAAGGTCGACGAAGTCGGCTTGGGGGGTCAGGTATCTCGTGTACATGACTGTACACCCACATTCCGGTTTAGAAGGGTAAGGGTGCTGGTTAAAATACAGGCACATAAGACTTGGCAACTTACATCTCAGGGTGAGCGGCGAAAAGATAGTATCATATAGTGATATTATATTTAAAATTTGTAATATTATGAGTATTATGACATTGATAATATAAAAGAAACGATTTTGCTCTATAGAAATGTAATAACATTATATATTTTTATAATTTTAATTATCACTCTTCTTAATTAATAATAATGGCTATTGACAGGCGCAGTCGCTAACCTGTTCGTCCCGTCACTTGTTATCATATAAATAAGTATTAAAAAATGTGGTAAAAATTTCTTATAAAAAAATTCCTTCATATTTTTCGGTCTTATCTCATTTTCATCAAAATACTTCGAACTTTCGCAATC